ATTAAGCCATTACCCAAATTTCAGGAACCTTTTTTTAATTTTTAATTATCGAAAACCGTAATATGTCGACAGCAGAATTTCAACGACAGCTTTTATAACTTTATGAGATAAACTTATATCAAGTATATAATGCTACCTAAATAATTGTACCTACATACATTATAGTAACAATATATAACTATCGACCCACCACCACCCACATACAACCATTTTTTGAAGGCGTTTAATAATTATTATGGTTCCGTATAAAATCGTTACGTTTACCCCCATTTAATGGATTAAAATATTAAATGRATAATATACGGTTTTATCCGACGAGACCGCAGACAACATAAGTCACGTGTCACACGTTTCTAAAATTTCGAATTTCTCCGCGTAGGTGCCTACTCATTTCATTTGTTCAAATCAACTTTCGGCAGATAATCATTATAATACACGTCCGGTACATATAGAAATCCGTATCCTTCGCATACCTCCACACAGGGTTTCAACCTTTATGTAAATATATACCTTAAAGATTTTGATGTTTTTTTTTTAACGTTTGGAGTTACCTATTATATTATTATTAGTGTAATATATAATATTATGTTAATATTTACACGATCTATATGCGTTGTTGTTCTGTCGGTGACACGATGTCCCGTCGAGTATGCAGCGCAGTAGTCGAAACTTTATATATTTTATATTATTATTATTATTATTATTATAACAATTATTAAACAATATTAGTTTATAAAAGAAAATCTATCTTTACTGTTATAGTGTTGGGAACGGATCCTGATATAACAAATATAAAATATTATTATTATCATTATGTTATTATGTTTAATATGTGTGAAAAAATTATCATATCGTTGTTCTAGTAAGTATAGTTATGGCCGAATAAAGGTATACTTGTAAGTAAGTTCAATATTGAAACCAAAATTTATAGTAATGCCGTTAAGATTTAATAAAAGTACATATTATTATACTATCGCATCGAGTGGCAGTGTATAAATTCTATTTCTGATTTATATTCATATTCGATACCTATAGCGGGWTATTCAGATATACAGGTAGGTACATATATGGACAGATTACATATTATGTTAATTTCTTATTTCCACAATAACCATACCTACCTATTTCAAATGACATTTGACAATATATACAGAATGGTTCATGAATCATGCACACTAGACTAGTGGGTTCGTCATTAAACAAAATATGGAGATGAGTATGCTGGGTCACTCTCTATATATACAAAAACACAACTAGTGAATACCATATTCAAATTCACGCGGCCTTCTAAATATTTTACTGGTTAAATGTAGGTAGGTACCTAGCAACTGTTATTAAGAATATTTTTTATTTAGGACTATTATACAATTATCCCACCTCTGCATGAAGCAGCCACTCGACGTTATGAAATTTTAGATAATTTACCTACATTATAACCGATATATTTTTAACTTATTGTGTGTTTACGTGTTTAGGGGTAATATATAAGACATATATTACTATATTATGTTTAATCAAAATGAATGTCAATTTTTTCCATAATTATTACACTATTATAATAATTTTATAGCGTTGTTGTAATTAATAGTTTTACCTTGACTTATATTGTGTTCCATTATACGATTTTTTTTTCCGTTCGACGATGACATTTATCTCGAACTGATGTTTGTTACCATGTATACGTTTTCTTTAATTTGTAAATCGACGATTATCGATATTACTTGCGTTATGCTATAGAGAGTACAGCATAATCGTTATTAAAATATAAAAKAATATTAATTTATATCGGTTGTTATTTCGAGTTGTGTACCTATATGGCTGTATAAGTTATGTATGAACATTGATCCTTGTCATGTCATGTACCTACCGCTTAAACGTTATTTAATATGATTTGTCTATATTTTATTTACCATGTTATCAAATTAAAACRATAACAATACCATGTTCTAATGAGTTTTACAACTTACTACGTTCATATACGATGGCGTTTAAATGGTTTAAAAAATGTAAACCGATTTAAAAGTTTAAACGCTCACACTATGTAGTTTAAGAATTTAAAACCGATTTAATTCCAAACCGTTTTAACGCCATCATATAAACGTAGTATAAATGATAAGGTAACTTATATTATAACTATAACACTATTATAAATTTATCATGCATTATAATAWKATATATATATATATATATATTGTACAAATATTATGATTAAAAATAAATTTCAAAAGCGTATATATTTATTACTGAAATCGATCAGCTGATGTTTTATGCGTGTTTTGAACACGAACTCTTTCCAATGCTCGTTGATAGATGTTGGTTTTTTTGTAGTTTCATAACTCGTATAGTAGATTCTTGGCTTAAAAAAAAATTGTAATTGTTTCAACATAGATATGCAACAAATGCACTATGCTGCAGGTATCTGAATCGAACAAGTATCTGGTCGGTTATGGAGAATGTGCACGTAAAATTAAATGTCAAGGGTCGCGTGATTAATGATGCGCAAATGACTAACTCCGAAGTGATCATCAAAATAATGTTCGGACTGCGAACCTTCGTCGGGCAAGTGACAACAATATATAACCTACAATTAATGTACCATCCAATTTACCTACCCTTTAGGGTTTAAATCATATACATATTATAATCTAAGAACTAGCCAATAAATAATACCGAATCACTGTAAACGTGATAGTTAACTGTAAATCGTCAACATGCAATATATGATTATGATACGATTTAAAGTTTAAACTGTTATATGAATAATTATTTTTTCGTAGATTTTTAGGTTAAAATTTTGTCGGGAAAACAGAAAAACCTTACAGAACGTCACAAAACTTATTACCAGCAATGTAGCTGGTATACTTAGTATTATAATATACTAAGTATCTATTTACGAAATTAATTCACTCAACGAAGCACTTCRATCGTAAAATTACGTGACGCTTTAGACTCGAGTGCTCAAGGCTAAAAGTTTATAATATATATGTTTACCGTACAAGATACAACCCTAATTACACCACTGTCACCACAAATCACAATTACTGCAATAAGTCATCAAACCACAGCAAAGGTAAACATAGTTACTAACAGACACGCAGTTACGGGGGGGGGGAGCTGGGACCCTCCCCTGAATCCGACACTATCCGTCTAAAAACAACTCGCTCCACACTGTATATACACATTTACTGAAATAGAATATTGATTTCAATACCACCAACTATAATTGTAGATAGATAGGCATATATCTGAACGTTATTTTTCGGTTTCGAATAAGCAAACCGAACTGCTTAAGAACTTAAATAACCCAAAACCAGGCACTGTAGTGAGCCAAAAAGTATCACTTAACTTTTTACTATAATAGATATTAAATGAAAGTTAGCACCTGCTGAAAATTATTTATTTTTATTAAATTTATTCGCGGCCTCGCAGGAAAAACGTTCACTGATACCTACCTAAATAGCCACATTCGCAATTCCATAATATAGACGACATGTGGGTGAACACTATTTTCACTAAGCCAGATGTCCGATATTGATTTAGTGGAAATCTGACATAAATATTAAATTAAAATAAAGTCTAATTAGAAAATTTAATTTATTAAGATAATTACACATAATTATTGGGACACGACATGCCTTTATACAATTTATTTAAACTATACATTTTAACTCTATGATAATAGAACATTATTAACACCATAATGGCATAATATAGGTAAGTTCATATTACCAATAATTAAAATAATTAAGTTATAATAATCATGCAATTATTTATATTTATATAGATAATAGATATGTACATGTATGATAAATATTGTAAAAAAATAAGAATGATGAATTTAACAATAGCCTAAGACTTAATAAAATAAACATAACATTTTTCACCAGGATAATTTATATGTAACATTCGATTAAATCACTATTGACCTTCAATCAAAGGATTGAACTACTTTCTGTTTCGTTTCCGTTTTCTGAGCTTTCATAACTGTTGGAGACATCATAACAAATGTCTTGTAGTTCTTTTATACTTACATTTTTATACTGTGGAGATTTATTGTTAACGGGAATTACTATGTCAGAATTCTTCATTTGTGAATTGGTCCGTCGGGGCGGCTTATTATGGACATTGGTGTGCTTGAGCATGTCATTCTTTTGGGTAAAACCACGTCCACAAATTGGGCATTTGTATGGTCTTTCACCAGTGTGCGTACGCATATGAACTCGCACTTTTTCAGGACGCCCAAAACGCTTAAAGCAGACCTGACACTGGAATGGCTTCACTGGCTCATGGACCATTTGGTGTTGGCGTAAATTTGCTAAACAACGAAATGTAGCACTACACATCGGACATCCAAATGGACGTTCGCCTGTATGAATACGCCTGTGTGTGTCACGTGTCAATTTTGAATTGAATCCHTTGCCACAAAATTCACAATGATGAGTTGTCTCTCCTGTATGAGTTCGTTCATGGTATTGTTTTGATGAAATCTACAACAATGTTATTATTCATAATAATATAAAATATTTYAAAATATTATATTTTCAATAATTATTTTCAATAAATATTGATGTATAATACAGTACACTATACTCCGTCCATGCATCTTTGGTTCTTTATTAAAACTTGAACTCTAACTACTATTCTTTTTTAACCATCCTGCCATTAATAAAATTAAATTCTCTGCTGTCTTGCTATTATTTCCTATACTCTATCATCCTTTCAAGTTCATCTTACCCTAAATATGAGCAAAACTACAGCAATAATTGTGAGGTAAAGAGAACCTGCATTTCCTGTACGACTCAACAAGCGATGAAATCATTAACAGTAAGTAGTACTCAAATCAAGGGGTTTCAACTGATCTCTTGTGTTAGCCCACCATAAATTCTTGAACAATGATGATCAAAATAAGAAGTTATAATTTACCAATCTATGAAATCCAAACGAGAGATTAAAATCTAAACACCCTAGGAAGAACAAACAATTGATTAAAACTTGTAAGATGTGTGGAAGAAACAACGACTAGCCTGGTAAAAATGTATCATCAAATCTACATATTTTGGTCTCTCAAGAGCATTATAAACTGCATTAAACTAAATCACTAATTCAAAAAATTAAGATACATAGAATCTACTCTTTTGCAGCAGTGGTTAGAGTCTATCTATTAAACTATCTTAACATACAGTCGAAGATATTCTAAAACAAAGATTCATATGACTATCTCACAACATATTTAAGCAATACACATTTAGGTCCCAAATTGTACATCTAAATCCATAAATAAATTTATTATAAAATAGAAACCCCTATGTACACGAATATCTCGAAATCTAATTAGCGGATTTTATCATGTATCAACCAAGATTTAATCTGCCACGTGCGAATTCAGTATCGTCTATCTTGGTCAAATTACTTAACAAAGTGAGGTACGATGTATACATATCTAACCAACACCAGGCACGTATCCAGGAGGGGTCCATGGGGTCTGGACCCYCCCGACAATTTTCAATACTTTCGTATAAAATTACGATCTTTAGAATTGAAATCAAAATAAAATATTTTGTTATTAAGAAATATTTTTTATTGTTTTGTGGTATAAAAATAAACCATTATAGAATGGTTGAATTTCGAATTATATCATTTATATCTAAATTTACCAATTTACATATTGTCTGGTTGCACTACCGCTCCATGCGTCGGGTCGACCACAACGACAACCAATTATTATTATTAAATATTATACTATTATTTATTTCTATTTTATTAATAGATTGATGTATCGTTATCACTTAGCCGCCCGCCTTGTTCGGAGCGTGCGCTGAATTATTATAATATTATAATGTTATTATGCTTCAAAATATTTAATTTTGTTCTTTTATTTTTTTTAAAACATTCTGACAACGAATGACGATTCGAATAAGATATTATTTTTATCGCGGAAAGTCTACACAAGTCAACAACGTCATATAACGTTAATAATTAATTATCTATGAAAAAAAATAACAATAATAACATTATTATGCGGGCATGTGGCATTTGTACATGTTATCGAAATTTTCGTGTTGGCTTTGCGTTGTTATTTGAAATATTTATATATCAGCAGACAGCAATGTCTTTCATAATTTCATGAGATATTAATCTTCCATTGTTACATGAGCATTGAGTGTAAGTATCATAAAGTTTTAATCTTTCAGTTTATAAAAAAAATAAAAGGTTTTGAATATCAATCATGTATAAAAAACCATTTATTTCAACCCCCCAAAAAAAAAAAAATAAAAATAAAAATAAAATCCTGGGTACGTGCCTGACCAACACTGATTTCCATGTTGACTGAGATACACAAAAACTAAAATAAATCAATGACATAACACTATAT